GTGTAAAGCGTCAAATAATCGATTAAAAACTTGAAAAAAATTTGTTACAATCATAGACAATTTTTTGCTTTACAATAAATAATTGATTAATGTAAAAGTGTGATAAACAATCTTTATTTTATTATTAAATATGAAGATATAAAATTCCTCAATGTTTCAGATGACTCAGTCGGATAGTTTTTTCCAGTCAATTCAGACTGTTTTCTATTATTCTTTGGAAGTATATGCCATTAGCTCAGGTAGCCATATGTCAAGTCAGGTAGCTTGATAATTTAGGTATACAAGATGCATTCTGTACGAGGTTGAACTATAAGTACGGCTGATTCATTCGATATATATCGGCTAGAAAGACAGGCTACCTATACGAGCTTCAAGGACTTCTCTCAGAGCCAGACTGACAGCAATTTGTCTTAGCAATAATAATACAAAAATCGATTAAGTAATATATTTTATTTTGGCCCTTGCATCAATCCATGAGATCGACATCTCTGAGCCGAGCCTGCGTCTGCTCGCCAATATCGAAGATTACATGCTGCTGGAGTAGCTCACGGGATTCGTATTTCAGCGACTCCTCGTAGGCGTATTGAATGCTTGTATCGTATAACATCAGTTTACACTTGGCCAGTGCCAGGATGCAGTTGCGCAGGCGTGCTATAACCTCGCGTTCGTTGCGTGGCACCACTTCCGTCAAGTTCTGGGCAAAGCCACCCTCGCCGCCGACCTGATCGTCGGTCTTTGTGGGCGATATCCAGATGTAGCCATTGTTGCCAAGAATGACGGACGCACCACATGGCAGATTATGAAAATGCATCTTTCGCCGTTTGACAAGCGCAGGGAAAACCTTGACCAGTATGCCCTGGGAAAGTTTGCCATATTTTAAACTGCGGGTGTATAGCGACAATGTGCCCTCCTCAAAGACGTTCTGCAAAATACTTAATAAGTCAAATATAGATTTTATTTACTTTCGTTTTTCTGACCTGCACTTCTGCGGATATCAAGTCCCCTTCGTCCAGATAACGTCTCATCATTTGTTCATCCTCTGCCGACCTCCGCCTTAGCTCGCCGCCTGGTAGATTTACTGAAGAAAGCAGCAGCAATGAGTCCAAACGTGAATTTGTGTCGACTCGCCAACGTTTTTGACCCACTTCGAGTACACGTGCAACTACCACATCGCCGATCTCGCCCACATATCGACTCTTAAGCGGTCGGACTGATATCAATTTGTTCACCTTCTCAATCACACCTGCCACTGAGGCTTTTATGTTTTCGTCTTCCACGAAGGTGCCATGGCCGCGCATAAAGCCTGCTTCCGGCATCAGCACCTCGCCGGGCGTATAAATACGAGGCAGTTGCTCTTGGTTATCGGCCAATGCAGTCCAATCAACGCGGTCCAGCGCCAGGTCTATCATTGCATTTGTTGACATCTTTACGAAGGCGCTTAAATCTTTCCTCGTCAATTCCAATGTGTTCGCGCCTGCTCTGCTTCTTCTTCTGTTAAGAATGCGTGCTTCTGTTAACTTAACATTTCGATAAGCACAACAAAAGCAGATTATCGATAGACTTGCATTTCAATCAGCTGTTTGCTGATAGGTTCGTCATCAAGCAGCTGCTTGTGGATGAAAAATAAAAGTAGTCGCAATGGATCAGCCTGATGATCATTTTCGCTATATACACAGTTCCTCACTACACGAACGTGTCCAAATTAAAGTGTTAGTTATCCTCTACACCCAATGATTTTAAATAATATATGTTCTTTCTCACAGTGGCACACTCGAAGGCAAGAAGCGCCAGCCTGATTACGAAAAATTGCTCGATGATCCCATACTCCGTTTCTCGGGCCTCTATTCGGAGGAATACCCCTCGTTCCAAGTGCGACTACAAGTTTACAATGACGGACATCCCTATTGCCTGCCTGTGCACAATTCATACAAGGCCTTCAGCAAACGCTGGAGCTGGAATGAGTGGGTGACATTGCCATTGTTATTCTCCGATTTGCCACGGGGCGCCATGCTGGTGCTGACTATACTCGACTGCTCCGGTGCTGGCCAAACCACGGTGATTGGCGGTACTGCTATCTCCATGTTTGGCAAGGACGGCATGTTCCGTCAGGGCATGTACGATCTGCGTGTTTGGTTGGGCGTTGAGGGTGACGGCAACTTTCCCAGCAAAACCCCTGGCAAGGGCAAGGAATCCTCCAAATCGCAGATGCAGCGCCTTGGCAAGTTGGCCAAAAAGCATCGCAACGGCCAGGTGCAGAAGGTCGACTGGCTGGATCGTTTGACATTCCGTGAAATCGAAGTGATTAACGAGCGCGAGAAGCGCATGTCCGACTACATGTTCCTCATGATCGAGTTTCCCACAATTATCGTGGATGATATGTACACCGTACGGGATATTATTTAAGTACTATAAGAATATATAATAATGTCTTTTTATATTTTGTAGTATTCAGTTGTCTACTTTGAGCCAGAAGTGGATAGCAAATATAAATTGCCAGCCAAACCTAAGTTAGTTCTGGTCCCGGATTCGGAGATTCAAATGGTAAGTATATCGGAGCTATTTTTAGTATTTGACTCAAAGTTTTTTTATTGCAGGAAAATCTAGTTGAGCGCAAACATCATCGTCTGGCACGTTCGGAGCGCTCTGGTATTTCAGATCGGGATGCGAAGCCGACAACAATGTATGTATTAATGAAATTCTATTGAGTATTCCAAATCCAATATTACATACCTTATATTCTACCTCCAGCATTCGTGATCAATTGCACAAAATAGTTTGCTATCCACCGACGTATGTGCTGAGCAGCGAGGAGCAGGACTTGGTGTGGAAGTTCCGTTTCTATTTGTCCACGCACAAAAAGGCGCTCACAAAGTTTCTGAAGTGCATCAATTGGAAAATGAACGATGAGGTGACTCAGGCTCTATGGATGCTGGCCAATTGGGCACCCATGGATGTGGAGGATGCGCTGGAGCTGCTCAGTCCAACGTTTACACACCCGGAGGTGCGCAAGTATGCGATCAGCCGGCTGGCGCAGGCACCCGACGAGGATCTCTTGCTATATTTGCTGCAGCTCGTGCAGGCGCTCAAATATGAGGATTCACGCAATGTATTACAGCTGCACAAGCTCATCATACCAGAGCCAGAGCGCGATGCGGGCTGTTCGCTGCTGGACGAGAGCGACTCTCTGCTGGACCAGAGCAGCATCTCCGACCTGAGCGCAGCAAGCAGCGCTCTGCATGCTTCGGTAATACCCGCCAATCAGCGTGCTGCGCTCACAGCTCTCAAGGTCGAAAAATCGACGTTGGCGAGCAGTGCCAGCGCACAGGCGATCAGGGCCAGCACGCCGGCATTGCGGATGGACCGGGCTGATGGCGGCGATGTAAGCGCCGCCTCGATGGCCTCACAATCCAATTCAAACACAACGCTTCTAGGTCAGGGCGTGCCCGTTAATCTGTGCACATTCCTCATACAGCGCGCCTGCAAGAATGCCACGCTGGCGAACTACTTGTACTGGTATCTGTCCATCGAGGTGGAGGATGTGGAATCGGTGCGTAAACAGGATCAGCGCGCGCACGACATGTATGCCATGGTCTATAATATATTCCTCAAGGTGCTGGATAACGGTGCGTAGATTTGCTGTCAACATGAAGCCCTCTTTATTGCTTCCTCTCCATATCTCGCGTATAGGTAACTTCCACTTGCGCGGCATTTCCCACAATCTGCGCAAGCAGCAGTGCTTCATCGACGAGCTGGTCAAGCTGGTGAAGCTGGTGGCCAAGGAGCCAGGCAATCGCAACAAGAAAACGGAAAAGTTTCAAAAGCTGCTTGCCGATCAGGTCATGTTCAAGGTGAACTTTACCAATTTTGAGCCAATCCCATTCCCCCTGGACCCCGAGATCTATATAACAAAAATAATACCAACACGCACATCCTTGTTCAAGAGCGCCTTGATGCCAGCCAAGTAAGTGGAATCAGCTCATAGATCTAGTTGCTAAAAGCTAATCATTTCCTGGTTACAGACTCACGTTTGTTACGTCCATTGCTAAGCACGAGTATGTGGCCATTTTTAAGCACGGCGATGATTTGCGCCAGGATCAGCTCATACTGCAAATGATTACGTTGATGGACAAGCTGTTACGGCGAGAGAATCTGGATCTCAAACTGACGCCGTATAAAGTGCTGGCAACCAGCTCCAAGCATGGCTTCCTTCAGTACATCGACTCGTGCACCGTGGCCGAGGTGCTCGCCCGTGAGGGCAACATACTTAACTTCTTCAAGCGCCACAATCCCTGCGATAGCGGCCCCTTTGGCATCTCCTCCGAAGTCATGGACACATACATTAAGAGCTGTGCGGGCTACTGTGTCATCACATATTTGCTCGGTGTGGGCGATCGACATTTGGACAATCTGCTGCTAACCAGCAATGGCAAGCTGTTCCACATCGATTTTGGCTATATACTTGGACGCGATCCGAAGCCCATGCCACCGCCCATGAAGCTGAGCAAAGAAATGGTCGAAGCCATGGGCGGTGTCAGCTCGGATCACTATCACGAATTCCGCAAGCAGTGCTATACGGCGTATTTGCACTTGCGCCGGCATGCCAATGTGATGCTTAATCTGTTCTCGCTCATGGTGGATGCCACAGTGCCCGATATTGCCCTGGAGCCGGATAAGGCGGTCAAGAAAGTGGAGGAGAACCTGCAGTTGGGCCTCTCCGACGAGGAGGCGGTCCAGCACTTGCAGAGTCTGCTGGACATATCCATAACAGCTGTGATGCCCGCGCTGGTCGAGCAGATTCATCGGATAACGCAATACTGGCGGAAGTAAATATTTATAAATTTAATAATTTAACTTGTTTTAAGCTTATTTTAGTACAGTAGGTAATCACAGTAGGTAAGGTATAAGCTCCTTATCTACAGTCAACTGTGTACTATATAAGAATATACATATACTATATGTCTCTGTATATATAAAGATACAAATATATAAATCTGAAAAATAATGCATAATCGCTCCAAGAAGCCTGTGTGGGCGCTATTCAAGATATTGGAAATCTTTCTAAGCTCGGCTTGCTGCTATAGACACCTATTCTGCTACTTGGAGCATCAGATTCCCAACGTTTTTATATTGTGCGCTACTTATGCTAGTGGCGTCCTTTTGGGCGTTGCCGGATTGGTAGGATCTCTATTCTACGAACGAGTCGCGCACCGTGTCGAGGCCTTGATGAGCGGAACAATGGGCACGTTGAATATGATAACCGTCTACGTGCACATGTATTTGCTTGAACATAATCAGCTGATGTCATTTCTTAGGGAACAGGAGCAGGAAAAGTACGCCTTTTTCATCTGTTGTAAAAGCAATGCCACTTGGGCCTGGTTTGCTGTTGGCCTCTATTATCTGCATTGTTCCTTTGCCCTGGACATGGTTTTCAATCGCAGGACAGTTAGGGACAAGGATAATGAGAAGGTGCGCAGCAGGCGCCGACTTAAATTATATTTTATAAGCAAGTCATTTGAGCGCTATGTTAGCCGCTATCGTTGGTTCAAATTGCTCTCAGCCAACATAAAGAAGAAAGCTCACATAAAACCCCCGTCACAGAGGAGAAGAATGTCAACGATGTTTAAATTATAAACGTTTCTTTTCACGCACTATCGATAAATTGGTCGTATCAGCTGTTTGTCATAACAGCCCTGTGCTATTGCGCGCCCAAATTTACAGCTGTTTTGAAACTTTTGGCTATGGACAATTGTTATTGTAATATTTTTAGTGTTTTAGTGTGTAATTTGGTGTATGCAAAATTTGTAACGTTTCGTGAGAAATTAGAGTGGTTTGTGATTAATACAACTTTAATAACAACTACAAACATCAACGTACTACAATCAAATGGCAAGCGGTGCGGTAAGTGTGAGCGTTTGTTTTATTCGAGTGCAGTTTCCTAGAAATTTCTGTCTGCAAAGTTTTTGGATTTTCATAGTTCAATTCCTATGCGTGGTGGTTTCGTGTGCCAACTTTTTGCCTAATGTGCGTGTATAGAATTGTGCTTAGTTAGTGGCAGGTACTCGTATCAAAAGTTTTTGCTCAAAGTTAGCATTGGCTACTAAAGTTTCAGACCAAATAGCCCGCATTGCAGCTGCAGTCGGCAGGCACCGCAGCGTTGGCATGCCGACCGCCAACTGCTGCTCAATGGAACAGAATTGGTCTGCACTCGCTCTTATTCGTTAACCTGTCTCTGTCTTTACAACCCACTCGCTCTTAGCCCAAAAGAGCGGCAGTACATTGGCAATTGCATTGCCAAGCATGAGTCAGCCGCAAAGCAGCTCTCACGTTGCCATTTGTTATTGTTGCGCTTGGTATGCAAGCATAACGCACACTTGCCTTGCCCACCCCGCTCTGCTGCTGTCCCGTGATCCACACGCTGGCAGCCGGCTGTGCCTGCAGGCAACCTCTCGCGCGCTACCATTCCTTATTGGAGCAGCACGTGTTCATTTTCGTGCAAAAATTTATAGTCGTTTATGTATGTATGTATGTGTGTATGTATGCATACATGTGTACTGCATGTTGTGTGTTGTTTTTATTTTGGATTTTTTTCTTTTATTTTTATGTTTCTGTAGATGTATGCGTGTGCGTTGCGTCTGCATTTGTATGATGTTATATGCATATGTGTGAATATGCTTGTTGTGTGCTAGACAACAATTTATAGTTACTTGCAGCTGGAAGTGGGTGTATGAGGGAGTCAGAGTTGCCAGAAAGTGCAAGTTATAATAATCTCAAATGCTCGCATTGCGTCCTTCTGTGTTATCTGACAGGTTCGTTTGTTAGAGTTGCCATTTGCCATAAGTAATCGATCATTGACAAGATTGACTAAAAAATACTGCAAAAAAACCTATGTAATCAAAGTCATCAAAGAAGTCATTTCACTATTGTGCAATTGTAATTCAAAGCTCAACTATGACTTCCTATGTACTACAATGCATACATAAATTAGATGAGCTGGGCATGCATCACCCTTTAGTTTGGCAGTTACTACCCGCCAAATGACTCGTTTCGAAGTGTAACGTTGTAAACCAAACTCCCGTGCCGAAGGTTCCCATAAGCGACAACCAAAAACAAAAAATCGACAACAACAAAAATAGCCAATCGCAAGCGAACGTTGTGTACGTGCTCCAAAGATCGAAGGGGGGTAATCAGTTTACGCTGACGTTGTTCTGTGATTCTTGCATGCCCATTCTCAGAGTCACACATACTCACACACACACATACTTACGCTCTCACACTCATAGACATACTCGTGTTCAAATGCAACCTATGTATGTATCCAAGTCACTCTACTTACTTACATACATACATACGCTGTTTATATGCATGTGTGTGTGTGTGTGTGTGCTAATATGGTGTGCGCTGTTTTTTGTTCTTGTTTTTTTTTTTGTTGTTTGTCATTTCATGAACTGATACTAACACGGGTGCTACTATTTCAGTTGCTTACTAAATAGTTAGTGCCGGAGCGGGCTGACTAAGCGAACGACCCGGCGAGGGACTGTCGCGCCATATTAACCATACTGTGTCAGCCCAGTCCCGTTCACAGAAGCTTGCACATACACACACAGATGCACATGCGACGTTTTTTGCATATGCCTCAATGCTAGCACCCAAACCGCTAGACGCTCCATTTGCTCGTAATACCCTGTGATATAAAATAAAGGCATTGCTTTAGTGCAATAATATATGGGCCATTATTTAAAATATAATTAACTCTGGAAATTTACGCTTAATACTTTTTTAACGACTTGTTTATTAAAATGTTTAAAATTGTATTATATTTGTGCGATATTAGTTTTAAAAATTAATGTTATTTATATATGTATCATTATTATTATTTATATGTCTTTAAGCCCCTCCGGCTAACGCAAAGAGAGATTATAATGCTGAATACATATTATATTATTATTATGTATATAACCAAACACAGGGTATTTGCAAGTTCAGCTTACACCGCTTTGCAGTGCTCTTATTTGCTCGTATGTGTGTGGCGCTGGCGTCCGTCCACAACGTGATAAAAACTTTAAACATTGAATTGTGATACTTCGTCACTTGGTTGTAAATTGAAATAAGACCCACATGCCGCCTTCAGCTGCAGCGTCTCTGCCTGCTGCCGCTGCCTCCTCCTCCTCCTTCGTTGCCTTTGGCTGGCGTTGCAACAGTTAAGCGTGAAAAGAGAGAACTAAATAAAGCACAGAACAAACGAAAATAAAAACAAAAATTCTATTGCAATTGTCAGCAAATTTTCTTCAAATGCAAAATACAACAATAACAACAACAACAACGAAGAACAACGCCAAAGAAGAGTTAAAATAAATACAGAGAAGAGAAAAGCAAAAGCCGCAGCTCAACTTTTGTTTATGCACTTTGTTTAGCCAAGTTTTCGGTTGCTTCGCTTTATGTTTTTTACAGTTATATACAAATACATACATATGTATGTATGTTTGTATATATTCTTTTATTTTAATTTTGTTTTAGATATGTAAGTGAATATTTATTATTTATGTATGCGAATCGCTCGTTGCTCCGATGATTCCGATTCCGGACAGCTCGCGCTCTCTCTCTCTCTCTTTCTCTTTAGCACTCGGCGTATCAGAATCTCTGGCTCGGTCTCTGTCTCTGTCTCTGTGTCTACGTCTACGTCAACGTCTCCGTCTTCTATGTGTTACTCGGAGTTCGGGAGTCGGGGCCAGTGATGGCGCATTCAGTGCAGTTTTGGCCGCCTCTGGTTAGGTTGTCCTAGCGCGCAATTTTCATTTAGTACGTCTTACCATAGTGCATATTCCCGGTCTGCCTGCCTGCCTGCCTGCCTTCCTGCCTACCGTCCTCCCAGCCAGCCTTAGCCAACCGGTGGGCTCTTCCGTGAGCGCATTTCGCACGTGTTTGTTTATTTTTATTGCTCTATTTCGAGTTGTTCAGTTCTGTTGTGCTTCTGGCGTTCCGTTTGTTATCTGTGACGCGCTCCACTCATGGAAATATTCATTTATTATTATTTTGCTTGAGTCATAAATGCATCGAGTCGATGCAACATTTTATATATTGCAATTTAACGTGCAACAAACGCAATTTAATTGTTGGGCATATTTATTCAAGCCCCCCACATTGTTTACATGGTGAGTGTTTTTGGTGTTAAGAAAACATACATATATGCTTATAATATAATAGAATTTATTACCCTAATTTAGAACTTAGAACTATACAAAACGCATAACTTTTTTCAGACATTGCCTCAAATATTATTTTATTATTATATGATTTCTATCGAGTTAAATAGTTTTTCCTTAATTTCAATCATTTTAAAGAGCAAAGATAAACACTCTTAAAAGTATGCTATGTGATAGTAAAATATCTAAAGTAATGATAAAGAAATAACGCAGAAATTTGTTGTTGTAATACAGAATGGAAGAGAAAAGAATAGGAAATATAAATCGAAATATTGAACATATAGAAGAAACAAATTACAAGAAATTTTATAGTAAATATAATGAAAAGAATAATAATTCCCTAAAATTGTTTATTTATAAAAAACTAAAATCCCAAACAAATTTAGAAATGTCTATTCGCCCATCTAAAGTTTTTCAAATCAAAATGTTCAACTGGCATCATAATGGCAATAATACCGTTAAGTTGGCGTCATGTTTTATGGGGTCTTGAGTCAGAGACGACAATGTCATCAACGTAGTCGCTGTCGCCGTTGTATTTGGTCACATTATCTGATAAACCAAAGGTAGGCCGGCTGGCAGGCAAGCAGGCCAGCAACAGCAACAGCAACCGGGCACAAGACGGTGCTCATCGAGGGGGTTTGTTGACCCCCGGTTGATAAAGATTTTTGCAAGACGCGTTCGAAGCGGCAACAACATACGCGAAGATCATGTCAATATAACAACATTTTATGGCCCCACTACAAAATCAGAGTTTAGAGTGCGTTAGCACTGGAGGGGGAGATACGAGTACTAGGGGCTAAACTCATATGAAAAAACTCACACGTACCCAAAATAAAAATGGTAGCAGAACTTAAACTATACCGAATAATACTTAAAACCATGTATGCATGTCTCTCTCTCCCACACACGCGCGCTCTCTCTCTCTCTCACACACACTAGCTATCTATTGTCGGCTGCTGGTGCTCCAAGGCCAACGTAACCATCAGGTTAATTAACCCGCCATTGTTAATCCTCTAGCCAGCATATCAGCTAATAACCAACTATCCAACTGGTTCGCTATTGTCACAATCGTTTTTTGCCCATAATGAATTCAATTATTGTCACTTGAGTGCGTTAAGTATGCGCAAGTTGTGGCCGGCATTCAGGTATTTGGTCTGTACAAGTACCTACAAGTTCAAGTTACCCAGCTGGACTCATGGGCATGCAAATTGCTGAGAAATTCATGTGGATACGGGTGTGAAGGTGTGCTAATTGCAGCAGAGAAAGCGGACGAGCGAAAGGGAGAAGACAGAGAGTGAGAGAGAGGAACGAGCTAGGGAAATGTAGAAAGCTCTCTAGCTATCTCTCTAGTAGGAACGAAAATGTGAGGGATCAACGATGAGAGAGAGAGAGAGAGAATGATCAACTGAAAGAGAAATATAACAATAAGAGATAAATGGAAATATGGATAGCGGTCAGAAGAGAGAGAAAGGAAGAAAAAATCAATCGACAGAGTGAAGTAGGCAGAGAGAGAGAGAGAGAGAGAGCGAGAGAGAGAGAGAGAGAGAGAGAGATTCAAGAAGAAAGACATACATATGTATATAAATGGGTAAATTGAATGATCCAAAAAGGGAGAGAGAGACAGCGTGAGCAATAGAGAGATAAACCGAAAAAAAAACATATCATATATGTATATGAGCTTAACATGAATCTGCATATGTCCCGCAGCAATGCCCTAACGAATCCTTAGAAACCCCATGAACATGTTTCAAGGACAACCGCTTTTAATATCATATTTTGGTACAACAATTCAAGATAGCAAAATTTTAGTTCAGAGAGTGCAGCTGGGCTGTTAGAGACTTTGGGCTTTGGTATCTGTAAGATACTTTTTTCTTGTGCGACTCTACGTGCCTGCGTATAGGCAAATGTTATGTGCGTCACATGAAATTAAAATTTAGCTCTCCCAAAACTAGTTTTTGTATGTTTTTTTAAAAATATATTTATTTTTATATATTTTTTTTCTAATTATTTTTTGGAGGAGTCACAGCTTTGAGTTGCGCCTAATATACATACGATCCATAGAGGGTATATATAAATTATAAATATATTTATTTTATTTTTTGCGCAGCCGCCTTTAGCTACGTGATTATAGAGCCATTAAATATATGTACATGTGTATAAATATATAAATAAGACTTTATCGGCACACACACACATATGTACATATATATGTATATATGCATACTAAACTATGCACACACACACACACATGTAACCCATTCACATAATCCACATTTATCGTTTGCCGCAATTGAAATTTCAATTCTCAATTCTAATTTATTAATTTCATTTAAGATAAGCAAATGCGACTTTTATTAGTATGCGTGCGTGTGTGTGTGTGTGCATGTATGTATGTGTTTCTGTTTCAGTTTCTTTTCGTTTTCTTATTCGACTTTCAGTTTGGCCACTTAGCCCCGCCTTAAGTTATAGACGACGCCATATATCGGCTGCGTGTTTTGTTCTTATTTATTTAAAAAAAAAACCAACAACAACAAAAGCAGCAACAACAACAATTAAACGAGCTTTTTTTCTCATTCTCTCGCGCAACGCGTCTCTTCTTTAGCTCGTTCTGTTCTGATTCTGTGAGAGTAGCTGTATGTGCGTGTGTGTGTGTGTATGGTCTTATAAACATGTTTTCGCATTAATAATACATTTTTATTCGCTAATTTAAGCGTTGTTTACTTTAAAAACCAGTTAGCACATATACACACACGCACACATCTACACACATTCATATTTATAAGTAAACACACACACACACACACCCAGACACACATAGTTAAGCTCCACCCCACTTTGATAATTTGTTTAGTGTATTTGTTGTTACTTTTCTCATATTTAGATGTATGTCTGTATATAAGTAGATATACATATATTTGTTAAACAAAATTCATTCGCCAATGCGCAGTTCTCTACAACGATTTGGCTCCACTTTGCCCCTCACTATTGCTGTGGGTAAGGAGGTACCTTATCCTCTCATTCCGACATTTGAATTGTCCTTTAAGGCTATTGTTTATTGTCAGCGATAAATGTTGGCCCCCCCGCTATAGCCCTCCTCTGCCCCCTGTAACATAAATCTAGCTAATCATTTTGTTTACTTTGCATTTACATAAACTTGCCATAGATCTCATTTACGTCTAATTACTTGATTAGCGAAAATGGGCAGGTTTTATCGTTTGCCATGGATCTTAATAGCTTTAAGCGCTGTCTCTAATATATTTTAAGTGTGAGAAATTAAATCTCTTGGAAATGTTGAATATCTGATAAGAAGTAGGTTAGCTGTCCGAAAATACTATGGATCATGATATAATTAAGAGCTTATTAAGTATAATATGTATTAATAAAATAATAATAATAAAACCTTGATAATACTAAATAATCACTATTATTGAAATATATACAAATAAAGAAAAATATATGAATAAAACATATAGTAAACAATATTTCAACATCTGTAATCAGATTTTAAATGTAAAATTTGTAACTAAGGCGAGAAAAATTGAAATTTATATTTTATATATTTATAAAATTTCGAAATATTTGTTTATTATATTTATGCAGATACCAATTGTCAAAGTTATATGGAAACCGTAGGGGCCTCATTAATATGTACATGATTCTTATATAAAAAAAATACATAATATTATATATATAATATTGAAGA